ATAGAAAAAAACCGGCTAGTCTTCTTGATTTAGTGTTAATTTGAGGTTTTTGCAAGAATGGGTCCTGGGCTTGACGATGTCAGTCATAGGACGAACGAAAGCTGAGCTCTTCTTCGCCCGAAACGTTGGAGAATCTCTTGTAGACTGAACATCGTATTAAGGCCAAACGGCTGCAGCACAACGCGAATCGGTCGACGTCTTCTGATGAGATTTACCTACAAATAACTTCTTCATGCACTTTCGGACGAAATGAAAGTCCTCACATCAAGATGTTTAGGCGGCTAAAAGTTAATTTAATTCGATATAAATACTACTTGTCACTGCATTCAATTTCATTTTTATGGTTTCAGGTTGACCAGATCAGATCTAGCCACTTTTCATAATAAAATACAGGAGGCCTGAAAAAACATTCATTCATGCCTACCCTTTGTCTCGGATTCCATTTCAGTCAGCTTTCCTTGATTCCATCCGTCCGACCATTGGTCGTCTTCATGCATGACTCTGCCTGGTGTCTGCGTTGGCAAGTGGGAGACGGGACGTACTAGGCTGGCTCGTGGGTCGAACAATTGAACACAGTGTTTGCCACGGGCATCGACTACAGCCAGCAGACCTCCCAGGCCGCTGGATAACCCGCGAGGCTGGTGAAACCGGTGACCTGACACCGAATCCCCACTAGCCTTACCCAAGATTCCAAATGGCCTACCAGAAGAGTCGAAGATTCGCACCTGATCGGATAGAAAAGAGCATTCAAAATTCAAGAATAGGATAAAAGAGAAGAAAAGGAGAAGAATTGAGAAAGTATAGCATGTGAAACAAGGAGAATTGAAATAAGGATAGAAGTGGGTTGACCGCGTTTTCGCAACTTGGTCTTGTTGTTAGGGTGATTTAGTTAAACACACCTTGTCCGAAATCCTCTGCCCTAGTAGCTATCATAATTCCCAGCGTCAGACCGTGACTTGGTACATTCTCAGACATTTCATCTGCATCGTAGTCGGCATCATCAGTGAGTCTTGTCAGTCTCCGCATCAAGCTACAACGCGTCAGGGACGAGTTAAGTCAATCCCTGGACCAATTCTCAGCCCAAACGGTTGCACTACCATTCCTGGTCCATCTATTTACTCCTTACCCTCTTATCCCACTCCAACCCTAGCACAACTTCCGACTTGTCTACGTCCCACTCATCAGATGTGTGTCCTTTTTTGGCAAATTAAGTGTGGCTTCATCGCACCTTCTATTCACCCTGGCCCCCTCTCTTGCAATTGGCCAATTCGACTCGGGTCTCCTAAGAGGGTTAAGGGTAGATAGATGGCCCAGGATACAAATAGAAGGGATTGTGAAACTGGGCAGAGAGTTGGTCGAGGGATTGACTTCACTTGTCTTTTTGACGAGTTTGTAGCTTGATGTGGAGACGGGCAATACTCACTGATGCTGCCGATAACGATGCTGGCGAAACGTCTGAGAATGTACCAAGTCACGGTCTGATGCTGGGAGTTATGATAGCAGAGGACTTCGGACAACAAAACCAAGTTACGAAAATGAGGTCAACCCACGTCTATAAATCGAAAGGAGACTGCGACGATACCGAGGGGCACACCATCTTGGTGTTCATATCTTGAAGTAATGATAATCCGTTATTGAAAAAGATGGACGCGAAACTATGAGGGATAAAGAGGAGGAGGGTAAGGATATGTAGCAATATCAAAAAGAAACTTAGAAATCAAGGAAAATGAACTAATTTTTGCGATGTATTCACCCTATTTCGTTTAGGGTGATGAAGGATAGTTAATAGACTTTTCCCACAATGATATCAGTAAAGCTGATGTTTCCATTTAATTTCACATAGCCTTGCTTTCTCAAAAGTAGCTCGCATCCAGAGTGGACTGCAAA